TTCGGTAAGCTTTGTCAGCTCTAAAACATTTACAAGCGGTGCATCCAATAACAATTCTCTAAATAGAAATAGCGATCACAGGGAGCTAAGTTAGAGAGACCATATGTCAATATTACGTCAGTCCTGTGAAGAGCCGGAAAAACGAAGTCATCACACTGTCACTGAACACCTGGGCACATATGCCTTATAGTCTCAGGAGAAAGCCCACATACCAATTTGCTCTGAAGTTCAGCAATCATTGCATCTAAAAAGCAGAAGCAATCCAGACAGCAGCCAGCTAATGCTGGGCATGACAGCCCATCACACAGGAAGTCTGGCGGTTTTACCACCTGGTTTAAAAAGCAAATGCCAAAATACTCCTTCCTAAGTTGTCGACAAATGCAAAGAACTGTAATTACCAGTTGGGAAAGGCAAATAAAACAAACCCACCCTCGATGCACCTGATGCAGCCGGGGTCTATGTAATTCACAGCATTAGACTAGTCTTAAAAAGAGCTCAATACACTCACCTCATAAGCCACTGAGGAAGTGGCTTCCAGGGTGACAGACTGTCCCACTCTGTGATGCAATGGAAGGCACTGAACACCTGCCGTGGTGGCTGCACACAAAAGCTCTTGTGTGCCCGGGTGTGCGTGAATACACCTGTCTGCGTAGGATGTTTGAGCACTTTTCATACAAGTGCCCTGGGTTCTCTCTTTGGATGGACCGATTTAATTTAACTTTAGCTGGACATTGTCTGTTAGCTACCCTTTGAGGGTAACTGTGAATATTTCATCTGGGCCAGGGGATGGCAGATTGTCACATGAAAGCCTAATTCAGGTTGCCACAGAAATTACTGCTTCTTAAGAGACAGCTGGAAGACATCTGGGGTCAAAATAATCACCTGGAATGCTTGCCACAATTCAGATCACCTGAGAGCTCGTCCCCCCCACCCCCACAAAGAGAATCTGGGGATGGAGGGAAAGAAACCAACCTATCTTTGTAATAGAAATCTGAGAAATTTCCTAGCACCCTGAAGTTTGAGGGCTATTGTCTGAGATGAAGCGTCCCAAGAAAGGCACATCACTTTCATCTCCCCAAGTGAGCATCAAGCAAACAACTAGATTATGGGATGAGCCAACACATGTGAGAACAGACATTTCCAGATCCCAAAGAACTCAGACTACTTCCCGTTCAGAGTCTAGTTCCTAGGACCCATGGTTGCGGTGTTTCTCCTCAGCGGGAAGACAGCAGCATGGACTTCCTTGTTTGCAAGGGCTGGGGCCCTGTCTTGAGCACCCTCCAATGTCCAGCCCTTAGCTCAGTGCCCAGGAAGCTCACTAAATCCTTGCAATATGAAGCAGGGCCGTATGTCCTGGTATGAGTCAGGGCAGCGTAGTTAGACAGCCCTGTGGGCCACGTTCTTTGCTCACTACTACTATTGTTTTGGAGAATCATTATGATGAGGACACAATGGTGCCCATTATCTGTAGCTTTGACTTCTGTGATTTCAGCTATCCAAAGGTCAACCAGGTTACACACAATAAGATATTTTGAGAGATGGGCTGGGGGGTAGGGAGGAGGACACACGCATGTAACTTGTATTACAGTATATTGTTATAGTTGTTCTAGTTTATTATTTGCTGTTGACGATCTCTTACTACAACCAATGTATAAATTAAGCTTTATCACAGGTGTGCCCGTACGTAGACAGCACAGAGAGAGTTGGGTACTACTATCCATGATTTCAGGCATCACGGGGGGTCTTGGAACATAACTTCTGCACTTAAGGAGGGGGTGACTAAAGCTTCTACGGTTCCAAGATTATCCTTAGGAAAAAGTGGGTGGCAGAGGACTGTATAGGAGCATGTCAATAACCAAGCATGGAGAGATATAAACAGAGGAAGCATCCAGTACCTTCTCTTAACATCTCCGTCTCTGGGATGTTTTACAGTTGTGAACATTTTATGTCACTGGCAGTTGTTTCTGAATAGAAACAATTTGGCTGACTGAAGCCAGAACTGGCCTGGTGAATGTGCCAGATAGCTGATTCTCCTCATTCATGGTCATCACACTGAATCAGTGACCCAGAACCTCTACTTCTGTGGGACATGCTGGGGGCATTAGGTCCCCAAGAGCCTCTGTTTTCAAAATTTGCATCAATGCATCTGTACACACACATCCTTGTCTTATCTGTATCTAGCAGTAGACATCTAGTCCACTGTTGGTTGATCAGCACTGAGCTCGGGGCCTGAAGCACTTGACCTCACCCTTGAACAAGCGCGTTTTTCTCCGACAGGCATGTCAAAGCCTCCTTATTTGCAGGGACATGGGCAGCACTCAGCTATGTTTGGGGCTACTTTAAACAGCAAAATGAACAGAAGCATAGAAATGTGGGCAAGACAGCACGAAGCTGACCATGTCCAGGGCCGTTTCAGCACAGAGGGCAGAACAGCCCGGTGTTCAGCCCCAGCTGGGCTCAAGTCCTGTGCAGTTGTACACACAAGCACCTCGGCGCATATTGTTTCTGGCAATTAGCAACTGGGCTCATACTGAGGATGGACGCCGTTCCCCACTTTCCTTTCCAGAGCCCCACTCGACACCATCCTCCCCACTTCTCTGCTTCAGAGGAGAGGCGGCAAGGCTGGCGACACAATGGGCTCCCTGGCTGCTGGCTGACGGGCCAAGGGAAGGCCCAGACGAGGCCGGAGCACAGGAGAGTGGGGAGTAGGGTGGCGATGCATTTGCTACCTCCCTGCCAGCATGTCAGGATGGAGCCTTAAAGCTATAAAGGCTCTGTCAGACATTGTAGTGTCTCCCCTCCCTTGGCCCAGGTTTAGGGGTGCTAATCCAGCTCTCATAATCTCAAAGGTAGGGCAACAGTCCTGAATCCCACCTGAGCTTTCTGAAATAGCTCCTTTCTTAGACTTTCTTCAATCCCTGATTGCCACCTCTCCTTCCGGGAGCAGCGGTATGGTAATGAGGGAGGGGTCTCAAACACACTGTGGTACAGACTTTGGCCCCAGAGGGGACTCCAGATTCTTCAATCTGCTACTCAAGCTACAACTTGTGAAGCAAAACCAGCTAATAACTGATGAAGTGCGCCCTGTCACATGATCACTCATTACTCAGAGGGGTGCCATCTGCAGGCAGTGGAATGGCTCTGGGTTCTGCAGGGTGATGCCCTCGTCCCTGAGTAGTCCAGCCTGTCCTTGAATCCCATGAGCAAACTGGAGCTTCATGGCATCAGGGCTGCAGACGGGGCCCTGGGATCTACCTGCTTCCGATCCTGTCACTCTCTGCAGTATCCTGGCTTTGCTGACCAAACCCCACATAAAGGCTGCATGGCACACGGAGACTGGGTACTCAAGCCTCAGGGCACTTCTCCTCAGGGGAGAAAAAGCCCCGTCAAAACTGGCTTCGAGGGAGGTCAAAGCCAAGAGCACACGGCCTGTGGCCTGGGGAACAAGGTTTCCCACATCAGGGTAAAGCGCCAACGCTCCCCCTGTCGGGCTCTTGCAGATGAACAGACTGCTGACCTCAGAGTCGTCACAACTGACGCGCCTTTTTCTTCAGGCCGAGAGAACTTTATTGTGTTTAAAAGCGTTTTGATATTGAGATGGAAAAATGCACTCAACACATTCACTCTCCTTTCTCATTTTAGATTTTAATTTTGACGGTCCTTTGCAACTAGACAATTTATGACCAGGGTTCTTAAGCTTGTTGGGCTTAAGGTGCTTTCAGGGATCGTAAAAATAACAGACCTTTCTCGCCTGTGGCTTTTCCCAATCTTTACAATATAAGGAGTATTAGCACAATGCAAAACTCATTTATTTATTTAGTTAAACTACTCATCAAAGCCAATGATATGATAATGAAAATAGCACAAGCTCTTACTTTAGTCTGACATCATAGAAGAAATCTGATCTTACCTACTGGGCACTCAGTTTGTTTGATACCCTTTTATGGTTGATGCATACAAAGAAAACCCAGCTTCACATAGATGCTCAGTTGGAAAATCGAGGCCCTCAAAGCCTTCCTCAGTGGGTCTCAGGAACCCCAGGGACCACAGTATGAGAATCAGTGACTTATGGTCTGGCTAACACCATTTGGGATGCTCGTTTATGGTAGAAAGCGCACTAGCTCCACATCAAAACAAGAAGAACCGAGACACAAGGTCTTTACTCCTTTCTCTCTGCACTAAGAAACAGACCACGTCATTTTTCCTTAGGTGAGCAGAGTTAATAAGCTTTCTCCTTCTGCCCTGAGAGGAAAGAAGGCAGCCAAGCATGAAAACCCTTCTGGAAGATGCTCACGGAAGTAAAAATCCAGGGAGTGCATTCGGGGAGCGCCGTTTGCTTGCAGTCCCAGTTTTAGACCAAAACTCTAGTTATGTGGCCACACGGTAGGGTTGTCACAGTTGAACTATTTGGCCATGGGGTGAGAAGTCCAGTGTCAGAGACACTGATTTAAGAACTAGGTTGGGGCTTCCCCGGTGGCCTAGGGGTTAAGTCTCAGCACTATCACCGCTATGGCCTGAGTTGGATTCCGGCCAGCAGTGACCCACGTGGCGCGGCAGACCTCTCCTGAACCCCGCTGCTCCCCTCAGCAGTGTGCTGTGTCGATCTGCCTGTTCTGCTCCCCACTCTGTCTCTGATGAATCCTCTGACTCTCCCTCCCTGAACCCCACCCCTGGCCCCCCCACACCTCTGGACTACACCCAGTTCTATGCCAAAAAAAAACCAAACACAATAGGTTAAAGTAGCAATAAAACCAGTGAATCTGAGAAATTACTTGCTGGAAAGAACAAGAAACTATGTGTTCAACACACAGGCTCTGTCCCCTCGGGCCACTGCGGACAGCCGAGAGCGAGAGCGACAGCGGCTGCCGCCCTTGCTGCCTGGGTCCGCCGCCACGGGGAGCCGTGACAGTCCGTCCACCAGCCTTTGGCGGTTGCACTGGCAGAGCCACCTGCAGGGTCTGGAGCCTCGAGCGGAGGAAGCCCTGGCCGCGGGCACTCACCTCGTTGAAGTGGACATCCTGCATCCCCACGTCCTCCATCATGGAGGCCTCCTCGTCTATGTTGGGGGTGACCACCCTGAAGGCCGAGCATCCTTGTCTGAACATACCTGGGGGCGGGAGAGCAGAGTCAGTGTGGGCCTGGCTGGACGGGGCTGGGGCCGCCTCCTGCCCCGAGGCTCAGTGTTGAGCGGCACAATGGCGGCAGAATCCGGCACGGCTGGTGTTCCCACAGCTGCCAGGAGTGCCTCTGTGTCTTCACGTCTGACCTGCACCTCCCTGGCGCTCTGTCTTCCTCACCCCTTTTTGTTTTTCACCCACTTTTATGAAAGTGTCTGCAAGTATGAAACAGACTGGATCAAAAAGAGACCAAATCCAGTGAACAGAAAAATAGCAAAGGAGAGATCACTTGACTTGCTAAGATGACCTGGGCTGGGAGACCACGGAAAGGTCCATCAGAGAGAAAGAGAGGATCCAAACGACAGTGCTCTGTCCAGCGGCCCCTCCCCCCTGGGGCCAGGGCCACCCCTAGTCTGGCCCTTCGCGAGGCGCCAGCACTACCAGAGGCAGCCAGCGGCCACAGGGCGAGCGGCCAGGCGGCCTCAGCTGCGTCCGGGTGCGGCCTGCCTCCCCCGCAGCCGACCAGCAGGGACCGAGGCTCTGCCTCCCTCCGGAAAGGCTTGGAGCAGCAGCTGGCCTAAGGCTAAAGCCCGAAACACACAAGCCCAGGCCTTGAGACACTGCTCCTCTTACTTGGAACCTGCTGCTCTGCTTATCGTCATCATTAAAGAAAACAGCGGCCAAAACTTGACCTCCCAGTTTTTCCCTGGGAAAAAGGACACTGGAGTATTTGAAATCAAGTCTGGAAGCAGGTCCTCCGTCAGAGGCCAGGCGCCTCCGGGCCTACCGGGCACCACGGCTCAGGTGCAGCCTCGCTGGCCTTTGTGAGAGACAGGTTCCCTTGCAAGGGAAGCAAGCTCAGAGCTTGAGAGCACGTCAGACAGGAGAGGCAGGCTGCAGACGCTGACGGCCCACGCTTCAGGCTGCAGGGCAGGTACAGGCAGACAGCCGAGCTGCAGAGGAAGGGTCCGCTCCGGCCCCCCGGGCACGGACGTCACCCAGCGTGCCGGGGGACAGAGGGAGGCAGGAGAGCCGCGTCGGTCCATGCAGAGTGAAGAGGAGACCCCCACGCCTGCGAGCCACGAGGATGGGCTGGGGTCACCCCAGGCTCACCTCCCCGGCTCCTCCTCGGGCAGGTGCTGAGGCCGTAGGGACGGTGGGGCGGCTCTCGCCGGAGGGCTACGTCTGCTTCTAGACACGAGCGAGCAAGGTAAGGTTACCTGACGCACGTCAGCGCGGGGAACAAGGCTGGTGGGAGAGGCCCCAGAGCCATCTTCTGGTCCCCTCCGACTCGGACCAGAACTACTGAAATTCCCGCCTGGGCATCCGTGGCTTTCCCTCACCTCTCTGTAAACGTGCCCGCCTCGGTCAGATCTGGGCGGCGAGATCTACCCAGACAGGCGAGGCCACGTGCCCACACGGCAGCTCTTTTTGCCCCACAGCGTCCCAAAACCAAAAGCTGCCTTTGAGGGTGCGCGGATGTTGGAATGGGGACGAGCCATCAGAGGACCCCGTGCAAGGGTCGCTGGCCACTCGGCCCGGGAGCACACCCACCAGGCCCACAGGGCAGCACCCCCTCCTCGCACTGGCCCCCCAAAGCAAAGCTGCCTGTGAGCAAAGCTGCCTCCTCCGATGATGCAACCACATGCCAGAAAACGCTGCCGGGTGAACTGCCGACAGCTGACTTCGGGCTGATGAACAGCCCCAGGTGAAGCCGTCTTCAGGGAAAATAAGATCTTTCTAGCTCACGACGGCCATGGGGACACACAGAGGCAAACGCATGAGCTAGGCTGCGCAAAATGGAGCAGCGAGTGTGAGGCCGCACACCACGTGGTACAGGTGCCCCTTGCTGGTGCTGGGGTTCCTGCGGTGCCCCCCGCCGTGTGCCACGAGTGAAACAATGGGTGAGTTTGTCCACACGCAGCCCCTCCCATCTGTCCAACGAACCCACTTGCCTCTGCTGCCCTGTACGCATTTCTACACGCCTCGCAAGGCACGGGACCGTCCCTCACCTTTCCGTGTGAGATACTCGGCCACCAGCGCTGTGACGTGGACGTAGCACATCGCCGCCTGTAATGAGAGAGAGACAGGGCTCAGCTGACTGGCACAGCACGTCCTCATGCGCAGGTGGACGTCAGGGCGAGGCTCGACTTGTCCAGAGCCCAAGGCGCCCACCAGCACTCTGAACAGCTGATGTCAGTGGGTGCCCCGCTGCTAGTCACCACAGGAAAAGGCAATGCATCCGGGTGGCTGAAGGTGGGAGTTGGAAAGCTTCTGCATGAGAGAGCTGCGAGGCGTCAGCCAGCAGCTCCTGCACAAACGAGGGGCTCCCCAGGCCCCGCCAGCCGGGCTTCTGTGCAGGACGTAGCCCCTGCAAGGGTGTGATGATCACAATGCTCCGCTGACCATGCAGTGACTCTGAGCTGGACACTGCCTAAAGTGTCGCTGTTTTATTTTTTAAGATTTATTTGTGTATACAGAACTGGGGTGCAGCCCAGAGGTGCAGGGGGGTGAGAGGCTTCACCAGAGACAGAGTGGGGAGCAGAACAGGCCAACTGATGAAGTCCACTGCTGAGGGGAGCAGCGGGCGGGTCAGGAGAGGTCTGCCGCGCCCTGTGGTCACCTCCGGGGCTGGCGGGGATGGGACTCATGGGGAAGTGGCTTTAGCTTCTTAGTGCTGCGCTTTAACCCGCTGCGCCACCAGGAAGGGCCAAGTATCGCTGTTTTTATTTTTAAAATTTACTTATCTGGGGCCCTCCCTGGTGGTGCAATGGGTTAAAGGGCAGCACTGCAGGTAGCCACAGCCCCCTCAGTGCGAGTTTGAGCCCCAGTCCCAGAGGTGACCCACATGGCACAGCAGACCTCTTACATCTCCCCGCTGCTCCCCTCAGTGGTGTACTTCGTCAGTCAGCCGGTTCTGCTCCCCGCTCTGTCTCTGGTGAATCCTCTCATCGCCCCTGCACCTCTGGCCTGTACCCCAGTTCTGTATGCATAAGTAAATAAATCTTTAAAAATTTTTATTTATCTGTTACATTGTTCTGTAACAGGGTGGTCCCTAGGAAAAGGGGAAGTTCCAGGTTCCCTGCCCCACCCAGAAGGAGGGTGGAGCTGAGCAGAGAAAGAAGGCAGCAGGATGGAGAGCCAGAAAGGAGACCTGAGGAAGCCACATGGAGCAGGGAGCATGTGAGGAAGAAACCGGGCTTGTTTCCTGGCCCTGGACTGGTTAAGGCAGATGTGGGTGAGATACCTATAAGGGAGGTGACTATGGCAGTGTTTATCTTGACTTTGATTTTGCTCTTTTCCTCCCAGACTGGTCTGGCCATTTCTGACCCTTTTCGATGGGTCTCGGCCAGAAGGTGCTTTAGTCTAGTGGCAGCTTTCAGGCCTGGCTTTGGGCCAGTCCCTTTTGGGGGGACTTTGCCCATGAGGGGAGGGGTCACTTCAGGTGTCTGATTTAGAAATTATATTCTCTGTCTTCCATATTGTATATTCACTGCATTAAAGTTTTATATGTTTTGTCTTGATGCGGCGGATGGCAGAACCCACTTAGAGCAGGCAGGTTTGGGGGTTCAGTGGTGCCCCTCTCCCTGTCCTGTAACAGATTCTTTCTGGGTGGTATTGGTCCCCCTGCCACCATGTGGTCCCCATAGACTCCCGCCACCACGGCACCTGTCCCCACAGTCCCTGTGCTCCTCCCTCCCCTGCCTTGAGCCCCGCCCCCGCCCTGGGCGCCTCAGGCCTCTGGTCAGCTCGCCAGCGTTGTCTCTTTCTCGTACAGTGTCACAAATGCTCAACTGCTCTCTTTGAACGGACGGGACCTTTCCTTTGACCTGGCCAACTTTGGTGAAGGGGGTAAAACTTATGTTCTTAAAAGGCCACACCCCAGCGGAAGGGCCACTGGGCTACCTCGGACAGGTCGCCGTTCTTGACGTGGATCCTGGCCATGCTGTCCAGCCACGTCTTCCTGAGCTCGGGGGTGCTGGCGTAGGACTTTGCCAGGCTGTACTGCAGGTCGACCAGCATCTCGGGGTCGCTCTCATGCTCCTTCATCTGGGCGGTGGCCATGAGCACCGTGCGGATCCTCTTGGTCAGGTCCTTCACGTCCGAGGAGAAGCTGGTGTGCTAAAGGGAGGGGACAGTGGCCCGTGGCCCTCAGCGGCGCTGGCCTGGCCACGCCCTGCGGGCTGAGTCGGGGTGAAACATCAAACGCAACCAGGCCACCCACCTTGATGAGCCGGTCGCTGTTGGCACAGTTGTTGATGATCGACAAGGACTGCTGGAACCTGGTCCCTCCAATCCCAACCACGTCCGCGATCAGCTGGCTGACGGAGATGATGACCTTGGGGACACACAAAGTGGGCAAGTCACTTCACCCTCAGGCGACCCCTGGGTTCGCCTCCCCGTTGGCTGTGTTGGGCGCGAGGACAGGGCAGAGGGGGTTTTGAGGGCGGGGATGGCCCCAGGAGCAAACAAGGTGGAGTGCTTTCTCCAGGAATGAGCCCAGGAGGTGAGCTTGCTCCTCGCCAGTTCTGTCTGCACAGCACAATGCTAATCAGGAGCGTGTGAGGATCAGATAAGCGCTTATCACTTAGATAGCGACTTATCTACCACTTTCTCTAACAAAAAAGGATACCTCATTATTGCCTGCTGGGGCTTGGGGTCAGCGACTGCGAACCCAGTAGGTGGGCTAATAAAAAACACCTTTGTTTTTATTAGAATCATACATATGACTATGCGATGGTGGGGGGCTGTGTTCCTGGGGCCTGCGACTAGCCCCGTCTTTGCCTGGTCGCTTGAGCCAAAATGTGGATTCCATCCTTCCCTGGCTTTTCCTTCACCAACCCCAGGTTCCAGCAGCCGCTGACTATAGCAACTCAGTCTCCTCTTCAAACCTCGCCAGCCCTGGCCGCAGGGCCTCTCGGACAGCCTGCTCTGTCCCAGATTTAACAATGGTTTCCCCCTTAGGTACCGTCTGCCTGATCCACGCTACATCAGAACCCAGACGACGTGGTGAGGCCCTCCTCATCGTGTTCTCACCAGATTCTCAACCCCTCTCAATGGGACAGGCCCTCTCCCCGTGCCTCTGAGCCCTGGAACAAGCCTGCCCTCTTCACCCGCTGACCCTGCTCACCCTTGTCTCTGGAAAGCACCCCAAGACATGCAGAACCCCTGGCTGCACTCAAGTTCCTGGGTCACAGTCCTCCAGCAGACTGTCCACTCCATGGGGGCTGGGGAGAGGGGCTTCTCCAAGAGCCCCATCATGTCATTTGCAAACAATATAAAGGAACAGAGGCCCTCCCTGGTGGTGCCACTGCAGCACGAGTTTGATCCCTGACCAGGGAGTGACCCACAGGGCTTAGCAGACCTCTCCTGACCCCCAGACCCCGCTGCTCCCCTCAGCAGTGTTTTTCAGTGCATCTGTCTGTTCTGCTCCCCACTCTGTCTCTGGTGCATCCTCTTACCCTCTTTACTCTGGCTTGTGCCCAGTTCTTATGTGCAGAAATAAATCTTTTTGTTAAAGAAAAAAGGACCAGATGTGGAGCAGGCTGGTCTGTGCGTGTGTGGGAGCCACACGGCTCGTCAGAATCAGATGCTCCCCAGGGCAGACGGCACGGGGCATGTCCATGCTGAGGAGATGAGGGAATCAGGAGGTGGGAGCAGGGCGAAAGGCGCTCTGGGTGGTGGGAGTCTCACCCAAGACGCCGACAACCATCACCCTCCCACAGGCCCTAATACATCCCGAGTGCGAGGAATTTCAGCCCCGACTGAGTCAACCTTTAAACGTCAGGTTTCCAACAGAAACACACCTAGGGCCCAGGTCACACCATGGAGGGCGACAAGCCAAGTAAGTAAATGTGACTTTCCAGTTTCCCCTCCTGGGGTCAGATCGTGGACCACTTACCCCGAGAACCTAAACAGAGTGCCACAGAATATCTGTGTCCCGGAAAAGCCGACCCCACGCACCTGCAGGTGTGTCCGGACAAAGGACTTCTTGCCGGTGTAGTCGAAATTGTTCCTCATCAGGAAGTAGAGCAGCTGCGAGGCCTCGGTTCTGATGGAGCTCAGCTTGGAGTTGCAGTACTTGAGGATCTCGTAGCACAGGGCCGAGCACATGTCAGCCCGCCCTTCATAGAACGTCGAGGGAAACTGAGGCGCACAGGGCAGAAACAGGCCGCGTCAAGGGGGGTGCCCTCCCCCGTGGTCAGTTCCCACCGCCCCTGAAGGAACGACATACCTTATAAATTAACGACCTTAAGGCTGTGAAGACATTTTTTAGAGCTGTTTCGGACTGATGTTTTTGAAGAAAACACAGGTAGACGTCAAAGACCTTTTTCATGAGAGGATTGTGTCCGTGGTCAGTCAGGAGCTGGTTCTGTGGACACACAGGGACGCCAGTTAGGGAGACCTGCCAGGCGCTTCAAATAGGTCCCTACAAGTTCTCAGAACCACACATTTCCTGGCACTGGGAACTCTGCAGTGAAGCTCCTTGGGAAGGCCCGGCAGTCTTCCGTGGGACACGAAATCAACACATTCCTGCTTCAGAAAGTTTATCATTTTCTATTAAGTTGTATCTAATGATACAACTTCCCAGCAAATTTTGGTAGGGTTAACGGACCACTGTTGTGCCATCCTGACTGGCCTCTGTTAGCTCACTTATTTTTAGTGCAACTGAGACACAGGTCACTTCAACACGACTTGTCCCATCCAGAAGTCCCAGGTAGTAGCTATTCCACGGGCTGGGAAAAGTTCTGAAGTTGTATCTAAGACCCAAACAGGCCCCTAAAAGTGAGCCCTCCGTATGCCCTTCAAGGCTCCTCAAGCCCTCACCAAGCTGGGAATAGTCAGAGTTTGGGAGGTGGCAGGTATAGGCTCTGGTCTGGCTCCACAGTGGTGGTCACCTGTGTCTCTACACAGATGGCACGGACGTTACTCGAATAAACGTGAGAACCACAGTTTGTTACTTCTTATCCCATTCTTATCCTTCAGTTCACCCCACGCCAGCAGTGAATTCACACTAACTCAACACCTGTGACCTGGCCAGCTGGTTCCCCTCGAATGCTGAGCGCCAACAGTGGACAGAAGTGTGCTCAGATAGACGTGTCCACTCAGAGCTCAGCACAAGCCACTGGGTCTGGCCATGGGCGGCACTCAGGGCCCTGTCCCCAACCCATGCCTGTCGGAGCAGATGTGTGTGATCTGGGCAGGCTGAAATGTAATGGGTACAGGCCTCATGGACCCGCCCCCACTCCAGACACTGGAACTACTGATCTCAACAATGCCACGGGGAAGCACCTGGGACTTGAGGTTGGAGCTGAGCGGCCAGGTTGGGGTAACACCGGACCTGTGGGCTCTGGGGCTGGCTCGGCCTGGGGGTTTGCGGCTGGTCACTGGCTCTCGGTGGGTCTTCAGTGAGCCGGTGGAGCCCAGGTCAGCAGGACTGTAGGCCTTTCTACTTGACTTGTATTTCTCTCCCTCTCTCCCTGGGTTGTTCCTTTACCTTTCTCCTTGTAAATAAGCCCATTATTGAACCTTTTTGAGTGTGTCCACAGTATGACTGAATCTTAAGCATGTGGGTGAGGACCCACAGACAGGCAACCCAATTCACACTGGGGTGCCTTGTAACAAAAGCACCAGCGGTAACAAAAGCCAAGCTCAGTCTCTCCAAGCAGTCTTACGACGGAGCCAAACTTAGGCCCAGGTAATTCTACAGTGCCGAAGGCAGACAGTGCAGGTGTGTCAAGGTCACCACATCCTACTGATGGAGAACACCTTCTACTCAGGGAGTAAGCCTGGCGCGTTGGGACCCACTGAGGCCCAGGTGTGTTCACAGCTGCCTGGACACCTGTAGCCCACGCACGGTGAGGTGTGAGGCAAGCGCCGAGTGAGTCCCCCACGGGAAGACGGCAACGCAGTGAGCAGCAGCCGTGACCCCTGCAGAGCTGGGTGGTTCTCAACCCAGAGCAGGGGGGAGGTTGTCTTCGGTGTCTGGGGAGCAGCCTGTGACCACGTTTCCCAGGAGCTGTAGTCCAAACGCCATAGCTTTCCACTTTCTTATTTATGGCTGGGTTAAGGGCTGGGTCCTCTTGGAAAGGAGATTTTGTCTTCCAGGCACTCGTGGCTGGAGACTAAAAACTGTCAAGACACTCTCCGCCTCACGCCCTTTTGCTGTCTGAAGTGCCCAGGTTCTTGTGACTCAAGCTAATTTTCCCCTCTTCTTCACTCTCTCTGAACAAGGGTTTTGTTTCCCATTTTTAGGACTTAGTTTTCATGGGTTTTGACCCCCAAATTTGCAAGAATGGAGTGATAAACTAAGCATGAAGCACTAAGTGTAAATCACCCCTCTTTTAAAGGGGTGAGGTATAGGCCTGCCAATTGGGACACAGTCCAGTTAACCCACGGCCTGCCTTTAGTTTCCAATTTTCTTTGCTCTTTACCATTAATTAGAACGTAATTAGAACAGCCCTAAATACTATAAAAATCTCTGAACATCCAGAGAGACCCTACAGTTTTTCCCAGCAGAAAGCAAAACCAAACTCACCCTTCACTTTCCACTCACAAATAACCATAGATAACAACGGAATCCATTTCATTTCACTTTTTTTTAGCCCTATTGACTTTTACTAAGCGTGGGGAAACTTCATTCAGGGAATTAAATGAGCAGGAAGAATAACATGAAAGGCACGGCAATTCTTACAATAAGGTAGAGAACCACTGAAAGTCTTTCTCAGGAACTGTCTGTAGTAACGCTGCCCCCTAGGGGACCTGGGTCTCTGAGAATGAACACAAGAGACCAGTCCAGCACAGACTGAAAACAAACTTAAACCTCAAGTGCCAGGATGAGCTTCCGGGGACATTGCTATCGCGTAATTTAGGAAAAGACACTTACGGCCTTCCAAGGCAGATGGTGTTTTCATGTAGGCACTGAGTTAAAAATAACTTAAACTCCTGGCCCTCCCTGGTGGCGCAGCGGGTTAAAGCACAGCACTGAGAATCTGAAGCCACTTCCGAATGAGTTCGATTCCCGCCTGCCGCCTGCCCCGGAGGAGACCACATGGCGAGCCAGACCTCTCCTGACCCGCCCGCTGCTCCCCTCAGCAGTGTACTTCGTCGATCTGCCTGTTCTGCTCCCCACTCTGTCTCTGGTGAAGCCTCTCACCGCCCCTGAGCCTCTGGCCTGTACCCCAGTTCTGTATGAATAAATAAATAAATCTTAAAAAAAAAAATAAAAAAAATAAAAAAATAAAAATAATAAAAAAAATAAAAAATAATAAAAAAAAATAAAAAAATAAAAAAAATAAAAAAAAATAAAAAATAAAAATAAAAAAAAATAACTTAAACTCCAGATGACTGGATCAAAAAGATGTGGTGCATATACACAATGGGATAATACTCAGCCACCAAAATAGATAAACCCCTGCCTTTTGCAGCAACATGGATGGAGCTGGAAGGGATCATGCTGAGTGACATAAGCCAGAAAGCAAAAGGAAAAAGACTGATGGTTTCACTCATGCAGGAGCGTAAGAGATCAAAAAAAAAAAAAAAAAGTAATTATGATACGGTAAAAATGAAAATCAACAACCAACTATAAACCAGAGACATTCTACGGGGAGGAGAGGGGGACGTGTCAAAACTGGGGCGGGAAGAGAGCACGTGACTACACGATGGCACCTGGGTGAAGTGGTAGGAAGGGCCGCCGGGGTCACACGGAGATGGACAGGTGCACACAGTGAAGGATGATGCAAAACAAAACAGAACAGAGCCTCCGGTTTAGAAAGAGCAGCTTCTACGGCAGAGCACAGCACGCTGCAAGATGACCTCAGCCCCCTGCAGACCAGAAGCCCCAGCAGGGCTGGGGGCCAGAGCACCTCATTATCACACCCACGTTCTCACCTGCAGCTCGAATCAGCGTGTCCAGACGTCAAGTGGACACACCAATGCTCAAAACTGGCTGATGGGTGGGGCTGGGGTTCACATCCAGGTGCCCAGGGACAGCTGCTGGGGACAGTGGTCCCCAGTGATGACCCCCACCACCTAGCAGGCAACACCCTCGAGGTGTGTGCGCCGACACGTGAGGATTTCTGCACCACAGAACACCTGCAGACACTCCTCAGACCCGACTCACGGCGGTTAAGGCCACCTGGCCGCCAACCCGGAAGCCCTTCGCTGCTGGCCCCCAGGGCGCCATGCCTGGGCGCATCAGCTCACTGCGGTCCCCTCCACGGCCTCTCACTTCCCACACACACAGCCCAGGGAGGCAGGTCCTGTCTCTGCACCACCGCGCACGAGAAGCCTCAGGTCCAGACCCGAGCCGCCTGCCCAGCGAGTGTGGCCTATGGACGTTGCAGGAGGACGCCCTTAGGCACTGGCTGTCGTCTGTCGAGAGGCCACACCTGGGCCAGCCTCCCAGGACCTGGACGCATCCTGGCCTTAAACACGAGGCGGCAAGCTAAGGGACCCGGGGGAGGCGTGGTCAGCATGGTCAGGAAACTGTCACTTTCTCGGGTGCTCCAGGGTCCCCCGTGCAGTGTGTGACCTGCCCCCGCCCAGGTGCAGGTGCCTGTCGGAGCGGCCAGGCCGGGCAGGGCGTAGGTGGAAGTCAGGAGTCCCTGCGAGGGCGATGGGGCAAATCGGCATATCCGGAGCTGCCCAACATGCCTGACTACAAATATCCCAAGAAAACAGAAGGACGCTGGAAGCAGGAGCACTGGACTGCTGGACTGGTCAGGGCGCAGGGCCCGAAAACCCGCAGTTCTAGCTCGCGGTCTCGCTGCTAGCCTGGGACTAGACTGAAGCCTTGGGGGAGGCCGCTGCCCGAGACTTGCCCTACTGGGCCTGTGTTTCCTCAGCTGGACACCTCTCGGCTGGACTCCTACTAGTGGGGGTGGGGCGGCTAAGGAGGACAAAGGCCTAGTGGATGGTGAGGAGCCAGATTACTATTTTACGAGAAGCGGAGTAAAATCATGCAGAGAATGCCTGGGCTTCCCGACACCCTCGCAAATGAACCACTTTTCCACTAGTCCACACCCTTAAGACGAAATCGGTTCCCCACTTCTGTGCAGGAGACGGAATCCTGCAAGGACAGGAAGCATCAGATTCCTAAAAACAGGGTGGCCAAAGAGATTGTTCCTGCCTACTCGAATATTACTGCTAGGCCCTAACGTTAAGACCAAAGAACCTTTTGGTTTGTCCCCCTGGAATGCTCTTATCATTGAACTTAGAAGCAGATCAAAAGAAACGTGTCCAGGTGAGTGTGTCCACACGCCTTACCCTGCATGGATATTTCATGGCCCCTGCACCAAGTCTGGCTACATTCCCAGAGAGGATCCAGCCTCCAGACACCGCAAGCAGGCGGCAAATTCAAGTTAACTCACGCTGCTGACTGGACTAACGGCTCCTCTAAAGGAACTGAAGGAGTCAGGGTTTCCTTCCAGGGGCGTGAACGGTTGCAGAAGTAAAAACACAACAAAAGAAGTTCTGGCTGCTCCAGCAAATGAGCAGAATGAATGACAGAGGCCAAGGCCTGACCTTGGTCGGCTGCCGGACCACGAACCTTGAAGGCCAGGGTGAAGAGGGAGAGCGTGTCCAGAGCCGTGAGGCACACCTCTGTGGCAATGTTGGCCTCCAGCAAGGACTGGTGAAGGACGTCCGCGTCCGAGTGGCCATAGCCTGTGAGAGACAGAACTCAAGGTCAGTGCCAGGTGGTTGCTGAAACGGGGCACGGGCTGCAGAACCAGGGGGGTCACAGTCAACTTTTGATTATTTACAGAAGGCTCCCTTTGGGGCCTTGATGTCCTGATTGCCTTTTATTTTGGGGGGGGGGGCGGTGATGGCTAATGTTTCCATTCAATTTCACTCTCCCCTCAGGGAGGGAAGTCGAGCAGTGCATACTTATTGACTGCTGGCACTGTGCCAGCCACATTCTATGAACTTGACACGAATTCGCTCATTTAATCCCGCGACAGCCCTGTGAAGCACCTGCGCAATTAAACCCTTTCTGCAGATAAAGGCATGGAGGCGCACAGGGCTGAATACCTTGTCCTCCGTCTCGCGGTGGGTAAAGAGTGTAGTCAGGCCAGGCACCCGGATGGGAGTAAACCCACCAGGTCACCGGGCCGAACTGACGGGAGCCAGAGATGGGGAAAGCGGTGGAGCTGTGCGCAGTGACCCGGGGGTCACTGAGTCAGGTCCTGAACCCACTTTCAGAGCGGCGTGACCTTGGGCAGCTACTGGGCCTCTCTAGACCCCCGTTTCCTCATCTGCAGAATGGGGATAATACAGTGTCCACCTCAAAGGGCTGTGGTGAGTATTCAATTCATTCATATTTGTGAAGCTCTGAGCACGGGGCGTGGCACAGTGAACACTCTGAATTCGGGAATGCAAAGACCTGCGTGACTAGCTCGAACCGTGAGTAATAATCAAGAGTTGACTGCATTGCTAACAGTGTTCTATTTGCTTTACAAAAAGCATAAAAGCCAACGTGTTGGAAAGAAATGTTGAAGAAAAGGAAAGCACTTGAAGAATTATAATTTAAATACAAACTGATATTTCTGTATGTGGCTGTACATAATTTAGTACTGATACAGAGGTAGCTGGACATACAATTTGAGATATTAAATTATGAAATGGTTTGCGTTAGCAGCATATATACAGGGATGCAAAGATGTTACAGTATCCATCTAGATGACGAAGAAAGATGACAATACAAAAAAACACCATGTAATGTCTTTCTCCAAGGAGCAGAAACAAGTCAACACTTACTTTGTAGGTAATTTTCTTAACACTCCAGAGAGGAGGACATTTCGCATTTAGATTAGAACACTGAAGTGGAGAAAACCTAGAGAATGTTCTTGCGGCCAGTCATGGAGAGGAACCAGAATCTAAACTCCTGAATCACAGCAGCTTTTATTAGGAGAACACAGAGACTAGTGAGGTGACATTCTGCCTTTACTAAATGCCAGCACAAGGATTTTCAGGCTACAAAAAGGCTTTTTTCCAAGAGAGGCTTGGTTGCTTTTTAAAATACGCTAAGAAACCACTCAGTGTTTTAACCCAATCTTGTTTTTCAAAAGCTGGCTCTGAAGTCCAGTCTGTGGTCAGTCTGTGGGTTACTCCAGCGCTGACAGTCACAGAGCTCATGTGCCTGCCAGTTCTAGTCAGGTCTGCGCATTTTGGTAAGAAATCTCCCCGAAGAAAGAAAGATGGGTAATTTTTGGTTCTAGTATTCATTGTGCCTCCTCTGGAAGCCAAGAATTGGGCTCACTGACCAGATCTCTTTGGCAACATACAGATACAATGCAAGAGGAAACAGAGGGTCACAGTTAACGGGACCCTAGCCAAGAGAAGGGGAGAAGCCCCCCACAACACCTTTTGTTAGACCAACCAACGCCATCAGAGCCTCGGACCCACAGGAGTCTTGCAGTCTGGGTTCAACTGTAACAGGGAACTTGCTTTGGGGAGTTTTTTTTTATATACATTTATGTATTTATATGTATATATATAATTTTTACATCATATTGTGCATTTTTTCATCTTGCTTTGGGGAGTTTTTAACATTTCTTTCTGTCCTTTTCTTTTTCTAGATGACTTACTGGCCAAGTGTATTCAGGTGATCATTATACATGGATGGGCTAAACAGTGAGAAATTCGCATAGAAATACCTAACTGGGCTGGAAGTCTGGACCAATTAAAAAATTGGCAGTGTGTTGTTTTGAGAACATATATAATCAGTGGACCATGCTAATTAATGACAAAAAATTGCTCTAGCAATTACACCCCCAATAAGACTATCCACTGTCTAGCCAGTCTCCTTTAAAATATCACATTCACAGAGAAAATGTCTGCATCTGTCTGAATTACTTGAGAATCAAAGAAGTGGCTATTTTAGCCACAAATGGTTATAATTTGCTTTTCTTTAAACCACTCATCTCACAAAGCCAGCAGCCTTCCTTGGCTGGTAAAATTAATACACTAAAATTAAAAAGCAGCCGCCGCAGCCAGAGAGAACGGCTGGGAGACAGCTGGACCACTCGCCAGGGCGGTCTCCATGGAGACCGTTTGTCTCAAAAGCCTCGAACAAAACTACGCATGAAGGAGGATTTTAGTCAACGGTTCACCAGGCTATAGGCCGCCACAGGAAAATGGAACTGAGCTGTCAAGTCCAAGAAGGGGTTCTTAGGACACAGAGTGATTTCTTCAATTATCAGTCAGCAACTTTTTGAAGTTGGTAGAGGCGATTCTGAGCCAGGGAAGGAAGAAGTGCTGTACTACTTATGTCCACTAGGGGGCAGCGGTGCCTTAGGGCCCAGGGTGCTGATTGTTTGAGGAGAAATATGGAAAATGTGGGGGTGTTGGGGTTCGGAGGTGTGGGGGTGGGTGGGCGTGAAGGGGCCACCTCCAACAACTGTCTCTGGAGTTGCTCCAAGTGCTCAGAATTCCTGCTAGCATTGATGATTTTCACTCCGCTGCCACTCTGATTAAGTGACTTATTCTAAATCCCGAGGCCATGGATGAGGTATTTTCCCCCTCTAGTGTCATCAGCTGTTTTTAGACTTCTTGAACCTTCCTCTGTTTTAATAACTCCTGTTACCTGCATAGCTTGATCTAATACCACAATCTACAAACCCACCCACCCTGACAACTGCACAGCATCACGGGTGAGGTGGTGGGAAGGCCCCTTAGCCACTCACCTTTCCTGAATGTTAGAGGACGTCATGTGGGCTGGCCCTCAGGTGCGCATGTTCGAGGGGAACCCATTTCTGTAGCTTTCTGAAGACAGAATTCCTGCTTATGTTTTTAATTTTGTTCTCTGGCCCATGAAATGAACTCAGGAAAAGTAATACCTTGTATGAGAAAAATGGAAATCCCAAATGACAAATGTGCTGGTGAAGACTGGCCTCGTAGGTACACTGGCCCATGGGCTCAGTTTTTACTCCCTGCCCAGCATTACTCAGGTATCAGACTGGTCAGCCTCTACCCCTCACCTTTCCTCTCATTATTACCAGCAGAAAGATTTTCCTTAAGGGTGGGCAAGTGCCGAGAACGGAATAAGGAGTAATATTCCAGGGCTAAAATTACGTGATCTCCTGTCTGTGCTCTGATACTTGCTTTACTAAGATGTATCCTGATTTTAAAAATGCACAAAACGGATAATCTCAGGGAAACTGGGCTTTATAAGCAGACACTTCATGCCCATCTTGAGTTAGGATGTAAAGCCATCAAAGTCCATTTCACCTCTTTTAACAGAGTTATTGCCCATGCTGGAAACTTTTGGGGTATTTGAGTTGTAATTCAGAGACTATAAACAGTCTTTGCATTTTCCATATGAATTTAATTATTATACACAGTATAGAACTTATCACGTATATTCGTTCTTAAACTCACGCTTACTAGATAGAATTTTGGGTTAATATGGGTCTTGCTAGCAGAACTGATGTTGAAGAGACCTAGACAACAGCCCAGTGGGTCTCCAACCAGCGGCTTCCACACCTGTCGCTACAAGTACCTGCACTAGCTAGCAGGCAGTTCAGTTAGAAATGCTTTCCTAGGTTGTCCTGAAATCTGACTCTGGACAGCTTAATCCCATGATCTTAAATTGTTCTTCTATTGTATTATATGAAAAACAATTGGGGTTTTTTTTTTTTAGAAGATTTTATGCCTCTTGACTGGTATCCCATGACTACAGTGGGAAATATGAAGGATCCTGCTAATAGAATTATTATACCTAGAACACCTGACATCAAAACAAATTGAAATGTTATTAATATATTTTTTCAAATGTCTCACTTATTTCAAACGAATTTCACCTCCTAATATGGTTTCTAGAAGCTATTCTAAATGTAGCTTTCACTCGCAATCTGTCATTTCACGCAGATCTCCTCTGTCAATACATGGAGTGTGCACTGATCACAATAGGTCAGTATCTTGATAGTGTAAACACTGACTTTTTGTGTGCCTACGCACCTCTATGCCTGGAGACTACCTGGCCACACAGTGAAATCTGTCACCACGGCACTTCCCAGCAAAGTCTGACTTCCCATCGAACCCAAGGCAGTGACAGGTCTCCCGCATCCATGCGGTGTTTAGTTCTACTGATGGGTAAGGAGGCAGCTTGGCCACCACTGGGCTGGTTCTTCTGGTCCTCAGCTGCCGCCTGCTGGTCAGCTGCGGTCTCACAGGGTCTTTCCTAGTTTACAACATGGGAGGTAATGTGAAATGCAGGTGCATGGGGGCTTTCTACTTTTACTCTTTTCTAAAATGAATGCATGTCAGACTCTGGCATCCCAGCAAGCGCCTAACATGTGGGATTTATGTCATATTGGTTGGCCCAACAGAAGGAGCTGTATTCACTGTCAAAGAGGAGGTTTTAGAATGAGCACAGATCTAGCCCCTAGGGCACCCACATGCCTCACACACGTGACCGTGAACGGGAGGCGTCAGACCACCCGGATGAGCAGGGGTGGGAGGGACCAGGGCGATGGCAGAGATGCCCCTCGTGGGGAAGTCAGATGGGAAAAGGTCGCTGGCGTCACGAGAAGCTGACTAACGCAGAAATAGGACGAACAAGGAGAGAGGAGAAGGCTCCTGGTGGGCAGCGGGGAGAGACGAGAAGCCCCACTACTCTCAGCACGGCTTTGGCCGCCAGCCGTCTCTCCACAAAACCCATTTGTGGTGGAAGGGTCTGCTGCTTATCTTAGTTATTTATTCTTGTGTGGATCGTTTATTTTATTTTTGCTTGTTTCCTGTTTTCCTTGAACATTATCTTTGGAGCCAGGGCACTGGTCTGCTTAGGGTTTTTTTAAGGGCTCTGACATTTCAGCACTTAATTCATCTGAAGGTGAGGGACCCCTTGTGTTAAAAAGGAACAGGCTGGGCGGCAGGTCCTGAAGAACTGGGGGAATTTGATTTCTGCATGCGAAATACACTGCATGGGAAAGCTGAAGATAACAAAACTGCCTGGCTGCCACCCCTTTGTTGAGGGAGCTGGAAAAACGCTAGCAGGCAAGATGCTGAGGAATCAAGCCTGCAGCCTCAGACATGTCTCTAGAGTCCATCTCAGCTTAGTGGAGCCTGGGGCACACTGAATAATCCTGACTCCAGCCTGGGGCTGTGTAAAGGGCCACTGTTTCCGCCAAGCTGCTGTGTGTGGACGTCTCAGCCCTCTCCCATGGAACTACTCTCAACTCAAGATACTGGGGTGTTGTCACAATTCTTAGCCTGCCCGAAGGAGGAGGGATGAACTCACGGTAAATGGAATTCTCATGATTAGAAAGATGGTGAGATGTAATGAGCGTGTACTAAGGACCTGGATGAGCACAAACACTCGTGTAGGTAAACAATCACGAGCTCATCAGGCCCGGGAGGCAACGGCACCTGGGGCCATGTGCCAGAGAGATGGTCCTTGTTGGAAATGACCACGTTAGTGTTTACAGTGCTGCGTGGTGGGTTGCATGTAGGTTTTCTGCTCTGAGAAACCCTTCAGCCAGGGGGACGCTTAAATTTCTAGACACAGCACCTGATGCCATGTCCCTCTGGTGATTGGAAAAAAAAAAAAAGTAGCCCCCGTGTTTTGGTAGAATCTCGATGATGAAGTCAGAAAACCGCAAAGTTAGGAAGGCAAGATGAACACAGAGGTCTCGGTTTGCAAGGAAGCGGCCTCGTAAGCAGATTTCGACCTGATTAAATCTTACCATTGTCTACAGAAATTCCAAGCACACTTGATATCTTTCTCACACTGAAAACACAGAAAAAGTCACTTTGTTATTGGCTTTTCCACACCCTCACACATCGATTCACGGGCTCGACGCTTTCACGACAGTTTACAGATTAACATAGGCTCAGAGTCGAGAGTCAGAAGGTGGACGCTTGATCAACTACCCACACAGATGGGGTGGAGGGGACCTGCCCTAGTTCCCAGGAGGGGCCAGGGAGGCAGGAACACTCATGATAGGTGGGTGACACGCCAATGGTCCAAATATTAAACGCAAAACGGCAGGGTAGGTTTGGTGATCCAACCGGCCACTGCTTGTTTAAAACTGCCCAGCAGAGGGGCGGCCACGGGCTAGCACTGAGGTCTGGGGAGTAGCTGATCAGGCCCACATCCTGCCCTCTCCTCCAAGGAAGGGAACCGCAGCGTGAGCTCTTCATCCCACTGGCTCTGAGCTGGAAGAGAAGTCAAGTTGGTGGTGTGTGTGCTCTGGCCTGGGCTCTGCCCGCTGAACTGTCGCCGGGGACGGCTGCTGAGACCATGGATGCGATGGACTTACTGTGGTTAAAAGCGAGAGAGTTATCCAGGCTGCCCAGCTGCTGCAATCTGGCATGCATCGTTCCTGCTCTGCTACGGGAAACAGGCAATGTCTGAGACTTTCGATCATGAACTATGGGTCCCAACCCCTCCTGGTTCCTGCAACGTGAGTGACAGGGGATAGAAGCCGAAGTTAGACTTGTTACATGGCAGCGGGTCCGGAGCGTTAGTGCGGCCAGGACACAGGACAAGGGGGTGGGACCGGGCACAGCCCAGCCCGTCGGGGTCAAACGAGAGCCAGGCACACAGCGCGGCGGCCTGGCAGGGCTCACAGCCAAGCGTGGGGTGCAAGAAGAGGGCGCCAAGCCCATGCAGAGACCCTGTGGCTTTAGGAAGGACTCGGGGCCAAAGGATAATATCAGGGCAAATGGCAGAACACCACCAATCTGTTCCGACTGTATGCTTTATAAAGAGCCGTACGTGTGTGTGCGTGTGTGTGGGTGTGTCTGTGTGCGTGTTCTAAAGATTAATGCACTGGGAGCAACAGCAAGCATGCAATGGAGGGGTTAGATGAGGCAGTTTAACGTCTTATTCTTACCCAGGCAGGAAGGAGAAGAGCCACACACTTTGTTAAACTTGTCAGCAGTCAGTAAAGAAAACAGAGAAGTGACGTGGGTTAGCAATCCAGCACTGACTTCCTACAGTGTACCATCACCAGGCGGGGGGGTAGGGGGACTGGGGTGGGGGGGCGGTGAGCCCAGTGCTGGAGGGTCACTGCCCAGGCCGGACCAAGGCCTCTCTGTGTTATGTGTGGAGGACCAGGGCATGCATGGGCACCCCCGGGCAACATGCTCCGGGTGACCCCAAAGTGCCCCAGTGAGGTGGCTCAGTGCCACAGACCCGACCACCACGGATGGCGAACGCCGAGTGCTCTGAGCCTCGAGTCCTGACCGCATGCAGCAGACTGTGGCCACATTCTGTAAAGCAGGGTGCCTCTCCCCATGGTGCATACGACCAAGCACATCGTCCGCTCCCGCCTCCACCAAGCTGTAAGAGCGCCCGGGAAGCAGGAGTCCCTATGCAGGTATATACAGGGTGCTCACGAAGCCCGAGGCTTGCTCTAAAATACGCAACTTGAGAGCCCATGAGAAAGTCCCTCAGCGGCTTCTCAGGCCAAGGTCTAAAGCTTTGTTGGGGCAGAAGTCTCCAGCTTCCACTTCCCCGTGCGCTGGCGAGAGGGGTGGTGGTCTGTTCTGCACAGGCTTCCCAAATGCCCCAGTGATGTCGGGGACAGTGCCCGGAGGGGCGCAAGGCTCCAGCACACGGTGCCTGCCCATCTTCAGGGCAAGGTCAAGGGGAAAAGGCCGAGAGGGGAGGGGCGGTGCAGAGACACCCTGTATATATGTGCATTTGGCTCTCAAAAACTCAAAGGTAAACATTTGACTGTTAGAATAAAAAAAAAAAGGTTAAGATTAGAGAACTTTTAAATGCCACCACATTTCAATTAAAAACAAAATATTAATAGGAGGGAAGCGTAAAATATCCTTCCTAAATGTGCTCTTTTGAAGAAAACACATACTTGTATTTCACACAATGCATCATTCTGGAAATGGCTCAAAAATCCCAAGTAAAGAACAATGTTAACATAACAAGCAAAATCTTCACATTCAAATAGATTAAAAATCTCTGATTTCATTGCTGTAGCACAAAACTGTACAGAGAGAAGAGGGAAAAGGGTCTCAGTCACAACTCCATTTGAAAGTTGCTCTTTCAACATAGATATGTGCACTTAAACTGTTCAAAATAACGATCACCAAGAAGCAGGACGACAAGACAAAAGCTTCATCGCAGAACACAAAACAAAAAAACAAATACGGACACACGGAACGGCTGGGGGCAGGAGAGAGAACCTGGGAACGACCAGATGGGCTGTGGGGGGCTGTCGGGGGCAGCACCCCTCTGAGAGCTCCCTGGAGCTCAGGGGACAGCAGTGGGATCTGGGACAGGGTAGGGGGGTTTAAGGTACTCAACGAAGAGTCCTGCTCACAGAAAAACAGGAGGTGGGGGGTCGACTCAGAGTAAGAGGAGAAAGGTTCAATCAAGTTCAGAGCAGGATTTGTGGAGGTGAGACAAACCGGAGATGACTGAAAACACGCCTTCACTAGGAAAGGAGAGCGGGCGGGCAGGGAAGGGGGATCCCTGCAGGTAGGAGGCGGATGGTGAAGAGGGAGCGGTGGAACGGGAGAAGAGCCAGGACGGAGGAAGGAGGGAAGACGGAGGGGCACTTGGAGGAACTGGGGGGAGAGACCGAGGAGGCAGAGGGGACAGAGATGGGGACGGTTTGTCAGTGCTGAAGGGCAGTGACAGGCCAGCGAGGAAAGGCTTTCAAGGGACACCAGACAAGACGAGACGGACGCCTGGCAGGTGCAGGTGGAGGACGCTGCCGGGCATGGTAGCACCGGCCCAAAGACCCGCCAGCTGTCTCCGTGGCTGTGTGTGAGATTCCAGCGGCCAGTCACCGCGGACGACAATGTGCACACATTTGGGAAACGGAGTGGCAGAGAGGGAGCCCGCACTTCAGATGAACCCCCACAGTACCTGGCGATGTACCGCTTCCCCATGTACTGGAACTGGTGCAGGCAGACTCTGTGGGCGGGAAAGGTGACTTCAGTACAGTCAATAAGGGCACATGGAAGAAACGTCCCGTCGGTCACTAGCTCCTTACTTCTGGTTTTCCAAATGTCTCTGCACATCCCTTTAATCCTAGAGAGGGTTACTAGCTGCAAGAAGGTCCCTGCCTGTCTACTGTAGGGGGGAAGTTAGAGTTACCCCAAGAGAAAGGCCCAGGTCCCAAAGCATTTTCCACTGACTCCACAGCACCTATGAACTGCAGGCAGTTTGCATAGAAGCCCCAGGGGACCCTATGAGCTGCTAGAAGTTGCTTAACTTCTTGGCTAGCTCACTCTCTGGCTCCAGGAAATGGGCTGATTCTTACTAGGCACTAAGCATGCGTGTTTTTTTTTTTTTGGTTTGGTTAATATGGCCACATTACTGATTCTAAAAGTCACCATATGCTTACCAAGAGGCAGTTATAAGAATGTCTATGGGTAGATACTTAGGAGTGGGATTGCTGGGTTATATGGAAACTCTATTTTTAGCAGTTTGAGAAACCTCCAGTTTTCCATAGTGGTTGTACTAGTTTGCATTCCCACCAGCAATGCAGGAGAGTTCCTTTTTCTCCACATCCTCGCCAACAATTGTTGTTGCTAGTTGTTTGAAGATGTGCCATTCTCACTGGGGTGAGGTGGTATCTCATTGTGGTTTTAATTTGCATCTCCCTTATTACAAGTGATGTTGAATGAACAACTATAAACCAGAGACATGTCATGGGGTAGAAAGGGTATGGGATTAAAACTGGAGTGGGAAGAGGGCACCGGACTATGGTGATGGTACACAGGTGAATTGGTGGTGGGAAGCACACGGGGATTAGAAATGAGATAAAAACAATGTACAAAATGAAGAATGGTGTAAATAACAATAATAATAATAATAATAATAATAATAATAACAATAAAAACATCTAGTAAGTTCTGGAATGAAAGCACCAGCTCACCAAGGCCAGAATGCCACAGGGGACAAGGCCCCAGATGCAAAGTTTCCACCTGAGTTCACGCCAACACTCTTGGCAGGAAGAGCCACCCTATTACTGTGCACCATCATAGAAAGCAAAAATAATTACTTTTTTTGCTGCAGACATAATAATGGTTTTGTTGTTGCGGCTGCCTGAGACACTGTATAGGTCAATTTTTCAAAAATCATATTCTAGATTTGTGAAATCATTTGGCTGCAGCAATTTGGATAGGGATTGTGGAGTCTAGTTTCTAAAAGTGAAGGGCTTAAAGGGAATCAGAAAGTTAGACTGAAGAGCTAAAATGAGATGCTGTAGATCATATATAAGATTTCATTTTTACTTGTCAGATATTTTAAAATAATAGCAATTTCTGTCTCAGTTTCTGCACAGATTTAACCTAGAAGCGCAGCACCCACCCAATTCAGCTAAGTCACTCTGTGCTCATGTATTACAATGACAGAGAAACACCAGCAGTTGCCTCTCATCTGTACAGACCCTGTGGCTCAGAATAATTTAAGGCAGGTCAGAGCTGCCTGGGTCCTGAGCTCCTGAGGGCCAGGGGTGGGGTCAGTTCCAGCACAGAGGGCTTAAGGATAAGTGTGGAGATGTAGACAGCCTGTGTTCTTCCCACCTCTCTATCAGGCAGGAGGGTCAAGAGGCAAGAAGTAAAGACAAAACTACTCACTCAGATATGGTAAAAAAATCCATAAGTTCGGTTGTTGAAGCCTTGTGCCAGTACGTAAACAAAGCATCTAGAAAATAAACAGTTCTGCGGTCACAATCATGAGGTGTATTATGCACATTAGAAAGAGGCCTCTGAGCATAGACTTCTGAGCCCTGCCAGGCCCCCATTCAGCTGATCAAAGGACAGCGACCCACCTATACAGCATTGCATGCAAGTGGCTTACTCCATATAGGGAAGCAATCTTCTGACACTGGAACTTTAATTCCCTCAACTAGCATCTAGTGCTATATATGTAGCTTATCCATCACATGCCCTTATATAGGCTAGGAAATTCAAATACAAGTGGCCCTATCATTTAATGTCAGGCTTTCTCTTTATCTACCCAGTGAGGAATCTATTAGAAATTGCTGTATGTACATAAATACCCCTCTCCCCCCCCCACACAAATGAAAGTATGCATACTACGATATACTGGATTGCCCTTTCAATTTTAATGTAACATTATAACTTGCATCTATCTCCCTTTTTCCTAGCTACATAATATTCCTCTAATAGATAACATTTACATTTTTTGACATATTGACAAATAGACTTCCAAACAAGCAGATATGAGGTTCCTATTCTCCTAACACTGGGGGAAGGAGGACCACTGATTAAAAACTCACTCCAACTCTTCATCTGGGCATTTTTTATTAAGGCAAATTCACTCACAGAAAGCAGTCAGGTGTTGACCCAACCATTTTAGCAGTGGAAAGAGTGTCTCATGTGATAAACATCTTTGTATGCTTTTTTTTTTCCTAAAGATTTATTTGTGCAAACAGAACTGGGGTACAGGCCAGAGGAGCAGGGGCGGTGAGAGGATTCACCAGAGACAGAGTGGGGAGCAGAACAGGCAGATCGACGAAGTACACTGCTGAAAGGAGCAGCGGGC